GAGCGGTGGTGGCCAGGTGGGGGCCAGGTGGGAGGTATGAATCGTTTTTGGGCGAGAAATCATAGGGTGGGGGGTCCCAAGAACAGAGCCCAGAGTCCTGGGGATGTCGTGGGGGGGTGGTGGCCAGGTAGGGGCCAGGTGGGGGGTATGGGTCGTTCTTGGGCGAGAAATCGTAAGGTCGGGGGTCCCAAGAACACAGCCCAGAGGCCTGCGGATGTCGTGGGGAGCGGTGGTGGCCAGGTGGGGGCCAGGTGGGAGGTATGAATCGTTTTTGGGCGAGAAATCATAGGGTGGGGGGTCCCAAGAACAGAGCCCAGAGTCCTGGGGATGTCGTGGGGGGGTGGTGGCCAGGTAGGGGCCAGGTGGGGGGTATGGGTCGTTCTTGGGGCGAAATCGTAGGGTCGGGGGTCCCAAGAACAGAGCCCAGAGGCCTGGGGATGTCGTGGGGGGGGTGGTGGCCAGGTAAGGGCCAGGTGGCGGGGATGGGTCGTTTTTGGGCGAAGAACTCGTAGGGTGGGCGGTTCCCAAGAACAGAGCCCAAGGCCTGGGGATTGTCGCGGGGGGGTTGGTGGCCAGTTGGGGCAAGGTGGGGGGTCAGAGGGTGTTTTTGGCGAGAAATCGTAAGGTCGGGGGTCCCAAGAACACAGCCCAGAGGCCTGGGAATGTCGCGGGGGGGGTGGTGGCCAGGTGTGGGCCAGGTGGAGGGTATGGGTTGTTGTGGGGCGACAAATCGTAGAGTCCGGGGTCCCAAGAACAGAGCCCAGAGGCCTGGGGATGTCGTGGGGGGGTGCTGGCCAGGTGGGGGCCAGGTGGGGGGTATGGGTCGTTTTTGGGAGAGCAATCGTAGGGTTGGGGGTCCCAAGAACAGAGCCCAGAGGCCTGGGGATGTCGTGGGGGGGTGGTGGCCAGGTAAGGGCCAGGTGGGGCGAAGGGGTTTTTGGGCGAGAAATCGTAAAGTCGGGGGTTCCCAGAACACAGCCACGAGGCTTGGGGATGTCGTGGGGAGGTGGTGGCCAGGTGGGGGCCAGGTGGAGGGTATGGGTTGTTTTGGGGCGACAAATCGTAGGGTCCGGGGTTCCAAGAACAGAGCCCAGAGGCCTGGGGATGTCGTGGGGGGGTGGTGGCTAGGTGTGGGCCAGGTGGGGGGTATGGGTCGTTTTTGGCGCGAGAAATCGTAGCGTCGGGGGTCGTAAGAACAGAGGCCAGAGGCCGGGGGATGTCGTGGGGGGGTGGTGGCCAGGTTGGGGCCAGGTGGGAGGTATGGGTTCGTTTTTGGGCGAGGGAACGTAAGGTCCGGGGTCCCAAGAACAGAGCCCAGAGGCCTGGGGATGTCGTGGGGGGGTGGTGGCTAGGTGTGGGCCAGGTGGGGGGTATGGGTCGTTTTTGGCGCGAGAAATCGTAGCGTCGGGGGTCGTAAGAACAGAGGCCCGAGGCCGGGGGATGTCGTGGGGGGGTGGTGGCCAGGTGGGGGCCAGGTGGGAGGTATGGGTCGTTTTTGGGCGAGGAATCGTAAGGTCGGGGGTCCCAAGAACACAGTCCAGAGGCCTGGGGATGTCGTGGGTGGGGGGGGCGGCCAGGTGGGGGCCAGGTGGGGGGTATGGATTGTTTTGGGGCGACAAATCGTAGGGTCCGATGTCTCAAAAAGAGAGCCCAGAGGACTGAGAATGTCGTGGGGTGGTGGTGGCCAGGTGGGGGCCAAGTGGCGGGCATGGGTCGTTTTTGGGCGAGAAATCGTAGGGTCGGGGGTCCCAGACACAAGAGCCCAGACGCCTACGGATGTGTGGGGGGGTGGTGGCCAGCGTGGGGGCCAGGTGGGGTATGGGTCGTTTATTGGCGAGGAATCGTGAGGCCGGGGTCCAAGAAACAGAGCACAGAGGCTGGAGATTGTCGTGGGGGGGGGTGGCCAGGTGGTGGCCAGGTGGGGGGTATGGGTTGTTTTTGGGCGAGAAATCGTAAGGTCGGGGGTCGCAAGAACACAGCCCAGAGGCCTGGGGTGGGGCGACAAATCGTAGGGTCCGGGGTCCCAAGAACAGAGCCCAGAGGCCTGGGGATGTCGGGGGGGGGTGCTGGCCAGGTGCGGGCCAGGGGGGGGGTATGGGTCGATTTGGGAGAGAAATCGTAGGGTCGGGGTCCCAAGAACAGAGCCAGAGGGAATGGGATGTCGTGGGGTCGGTGTGGGCCAGGTTAAGGGCCAGTTGGCGGGGATGGGTCGTTTTGGGGACAAAATCGCCAGGGTCCGGGGGGGGTTCAAGAACAGAGCCGAGGCCTGGGATGTCGTGGGGGCAGGTGCTGGCCAGGTGGGGGCCAGGTGGGGGGTCAGGTGTCGTTTGGAGAGAAATCGTTAGGTCGGGAGTCCCAAGAACAGAGCCCAGAGGCCTGGGGATGTCGTGGGGGGGTAGTGGCCAGGTAAGGGCCAGGTGGGGGGTATGGGTCGTTTGTGGGCGAGAAATCGTAAGGTCGGGGGTCC